GTAGGGCCTTTCAGTTCGAGATATCGGCGTCTTTTCAAGCTATCAGCCACATCGACCTTAAATTGGCGTCCATGGCCGATCATAAACTATGGCTCAGGCAGCCATGACCGATCATAAACTATAAATTGCTCAATCAGCCCCGCTGTCCAGGACGCAGAGGGTAGATGCAGTGTCGCCAATATATGGGTTTTTAAGCCCTAAGCGTTGCCGGGTGATTTTAAGATGCATTGCCAGGTAATTTTAAGATGCATTGCCAGGTAATTTTTAATGTAAAGCCATTTATGCTGAGTAATGAAAAATTATTTACAAGCCACAAACTTATTTACAAGGTTGCATGCACGTGTTATCCCAAATAACTAATTATACCCTAAAAACAGTCTGATTGTACAGCAAGTGTCAACTGAACATGTGATACCGTAAACTGGGGTAACTTTGACTCCCGGGGTAACTTTGACCACTTTTGATTTTTTAACAAAAACCCCCAAAACTCAAAAACCATTTGACATAGAAAAATTTTGTCAATGGGCATTAAAGACCTAATACTTAGGCTACGTAACACAATAGAAAGATTTAAAAAGTTAGCATATCTAATAGGTTGAAAAAATTAAAATGTGACCCACAAAAAAAGCTATTTTTTAAAGCCTGTCAGAGTACCCCCTCCAATTTTTTTATTTTTTGGCAAAATAACTCCAGGTTTTGATGCATTGTAGTAGAACTCTTCTAGTTAATGTATTTTGCATGTTTCAATTTAAGTTTAACTTATCTAGTAAAAAATGGCATCATTTTGAAAAAAAAGTGGTCAAAGTTACCCCAGTTTACGGTAATGCAGTCTGACTGCTCTAATGTGACCGCAACTACTTAATCGGAAGCTTGATGTTTACATTTTTTTGGCGGGAACTCATCGCAACTGATTTCCGGACAAGCTTCACTCCACTGCATCCTGATCCATGTAACATATCGGAAACCTTACTTTTTTTAAATAGTTGGCCGAAGACTGACGAATACCGTAAAATGGGGTAATATTGACCACTTTTTTTAAAAAAAATGATGCAATTTTTTTACTAGATAAGTTAAACTTAAATTGAAACATGCAAAATACAGGTCTATACTAGCTTTACTCACCATAAATTGCTGGCTTCTGCCTCTCATAGTTTTGATGTAATTTCGAAAAAAGTGATGGTCTTTGTTACCCCAGCTCTTGGGGTTTCTTTGACCGGGTGGTAAAATCAATTTTATTTTCTTGTAAAATAACTCCAGGTTGTGGTGCATTGTAGTAGAACTCTTCTAGTTACTTATGCAGAAGACAAATTTTAGGAAAGTGTCATAGTTTGCGAATGGGGGGCGCCGCCCTCAAATGTGCAAAATGTGACCATCTAATGGCAGCCGTGATGGGGTAACATTGACGCCGGAACTGCGTGCTACATCGCGTACGTAGTTCAGGTGGCTATGAGCTCGTATGGTTGGGTGCTCAAATGTAGCTCTCACAGGCGCCGGAACTACACGCTACAACACATAGTTACGATTGTAGCGTGTAGATCAATACGGCGCATCGGCCATATCGATCGTAAATCGCGATTTATGGAGAAGCATAATTGGCGACTGGCGTCCAGTGGTGTCCAGCGGTATCTTACTCGGCGTCTTTGGTGCATGAAATCGGCGTCCTCGACCTATGTTGTGCCATTCTCTACAGTCTGGATTTCTTCAAGCCATGATTCCATTTCTTTGAGCAGTGAATTCCATTTCATTAAGCCGTGAATTCCATAGCTTTGCAATGAAAAGCCATTAATGAGCCATGAATGTATTTACAAAATCTGTGCACGTGTTACCTCCAGGCTGAAATTCTAAAATTTGTGGCTCACATAAAAAAAGCCTTCTGCCTTAAAAAAAACGTTCCAGGCAACTAGAAACAGGTTTGCAGGCTGTCAGAAATCAACTTTGGTTAAGGTAGCTATGATTGTATGAACGTCAAGTCAGGCAACACAGAGAAGGTCCCATGCAAGATTGTTAATTGTGCTCGTCACTCACAGATGAGCAAGAGGGATGGATATACAGAAGGAAATACTATTTACTCTCAACATAATAGTTTCAAATTGAATATAAAAAAACATTTATAGCACCTATTTGTTACCTCAGCTTTCAAATTGAGAAGAAACTCCTTGGCAGTTGGAGAAATTTCTCGAAGAAAAGGCAATGCACAACAAAAAACATGACACTTCACAGTTGACTGACTAGAATAGACTCAATAGTCAATAGAGTACTCAAAAGTAAAAAATTTAGCATTCAAACCTTTAGATTCTGTGAACCTTGTGATTTCTTCATTATTAAAACTTTAGAAGGCTTATAATATATCACGTAAAGTTTTCACTCAATTATCGTTTCGAAGTTTGGGAGCTTTATCTGCAGTAATATTCTGTAGTTACCTCACTCACCCGGTCCCACCACCACTGATTGCGTAATGAGAACTAACCACTAACCATCATTAGATTCCCACCACTGTTGCACACGATTGATTCTGCATGCATGTATAATATATATGAAGGTTATTAAACCATTCTGATTTCTGTTGAATGTCAGTTACTGATAAATTTTTAATATAGAAGAATTCGCATCTTTCATTTTTCCACACGACTATATTGATGTCGGTTTCACATTGGTTGCTGGTGTGGTTGGTATCCCTGCTACATTCTTTGTTTACGTTTTTTGTTTGGCTGATCGCAACAAAAGGAGATTGTATGTCTCAGCTGATTGCTTTGGTGGTCAGTTTTGTATTTGTGGATTGAATCATAGGCAGTTTTTCATGTATTTGTGAGTGAGTGTACATAGTGAAGATGTTATTCTTTGCAATTTCCATCAATAATGACATAACTACACTATTGTATTATGCTCTTGAAATAAGAATTGTAGCATGAGGCATTAAGTTAGCATCAGTGCGTTAACATTGTGTGCATTTGAGGCGGTCCCTTCTAGCTTTCTATTGCTGATTGGATTCCAGTGGCTGTGACGTTGCACACGTTCTAGCGATGATTGGATCCCTGTGACAGTACGTTGGATGCGTTCAAGCATTGATTGGATTCTTGGGACTGTTACATTTGGACGCGTTCAAGCGTTGATTGGATTCTTGTTACTGTGATGATGCAAGCGCTGTTTTTTTTTTTAATGAAACAGCTGTGGCATCTTGCAGACTCATCAGTGATGATGATGGACTGAAAGTGAAAGTGTGCTGGACATTCCAGATTTTTGGGTCATGCATTCTGATTTGCTTTGTTTACCAGTTGATATATTACCCCTCTAGAATTCCACACTGGTTGCCTCAAATCTCTAATTTTATCCTAAAACACTCAAACAGCAAAACTAACATTTGGCTTCTCTTAAGTGGCAACTGAACACATGATAATGCAGTCTGACCACTCTGACGTGGCCACAGCTATGTTATCTTCAAGGAAACATTTTGGGTTGACTTGTTGTAGCCTAATTACGTTTTTGCCGGATATTTTGGTGAGAACTTTGAATTAATGCGGATTGTGCCATCATTGCGGAAGTTGTAAATTTTATGAAGCGACATGTTTGCAAAGTTGCAAACCACAATTTTTCAATCAAACAAAAATACATGACATTAGAGCCACAAGATTTCATACGTACTGAAATTATATGATATTAGAGCTGGAATACAGTATTTCAGAAAAAAGTTGGACTTTTCCAGCCCTGAGTTGAAGCAATAATGAATTTGAAATATTGTCCGCAACAGTGTGAGATTCTAGGAATGAAAGTTTGCTTATAAAAAAGCTTCCCACCCAAGGTGAAAAGCTTTCCTTAGATACAGCACAGTGGACACACTGTTTCAATTGTGTACTAGTACATCAGAATTATTATGAAATTGTTTAGCTGTCTATTGTTTGATTAATATTTTATATTTTTTTTACTAAAAGAGTTTCTGGAAATTGTCCAGGCCCTTTGTACATACGTTAATGATTAAGTTTAAAATAAGTACTATTAGGTTTAATAATTAAACTAACCAGTACACATACCATATTTGGGCACAACCAATCACAGCTGGAAAGGATGACCCCACAATCTCATCAACCAATCGGAGATTGTAAGGGCACGATATCACAATCTCACCAAATAATCACAGCTGGAAAGGGGATGAAATCACAATCTCACCAAATAATCACAGCTGGAAAGGGGATGAAATCACAATCTCACCTAAAATCACAGCTGGAAAAGTACGGTATATCAATAACAGACATGTATAAAATGGACTGAAAGCTGAAAGTTCCTAGCCTTTCTAAGCTTTCAGGTCTTGCTTTCCAAATTATTAGGTCTGAAGTCCCACTTTCCAATATGCTGTGTGTACTGGGGTATTTTATACCCCTCTAAAATTCCACACTGGTCCACAAGCATAGGTAGGCATTTTTGTCTTATTAAAGGGCTGCTTATGCCCAAATTTCCACTTTAATGTAAAGCAGCATTAAACCTATAAAGAGAAAAATGTTGCTCACATCTTCTGAAGATATAGTTTTATACCTACTGATGTGTTGTCAAAGATTTTCAGATATTTGCCAAACTGGAAAAGTGAGAAGAAGCCATCTTTAAATTAGACAAAGATACCTTTGTTTATGGTCAATTTCACCCATTCTTATAACCTTTCAATGATTTCTTCCAAAATAAATTACAAAAATGACCTTTTTCTTAGCTATTTTCAAAAAATCATGCATGAAATAATCTTTTCACCTGCAATTTCTGGAAATTCTGCCCAATTTTATTGATTCTGTTATTTCCTCATCATTCTGATATTATTGTGATTCATAAAATGAAAGCACTTGATGTTTCCTATAAATTTCATGTTTGAATATTTGTCTTTGAACCTGATTTTTAAAATGTATGAGTCCCCATCATTACAATTAGAAAATATTACTGTCACTCATTGGATTTATTCCTGACATGAGACATGTGTTATAACTGTATTTGACTAACTTTTTGCTAGAGTTAAATTTTGATGAACTTTTTTGGTGAATTTTCCTAAGTTGAGAATCTTAGATTTCTGTTTTAATTTGCAGATATTCTGTAGGACAAAAATAAGTTTTAATGCAGAATTCAAATTGCCTATTTTCAGGGCTGGCAAGCCAGCTGTCGGCCTGCATTTGGATGTGGCAAAAGGAGATCGCCTCATTCAGGTGAAATTTCTATACTACATTTGACGATAATTTTTCTGCCCCCAAAATGTATTTGCCTAATTTAGTTCTCTTTTAAAAAATAAATATATAATATGGCAATAGTACATTATTATCTGCAAATTTAGCTCAGCAAATTTATGGGAAGTGAACAAAAGTGATGTAAATAACTGATCAATACCGTACAGAGATCAAAAATCTTTTGTTTTATTAATACCGTATAGATTTAACATGAGGTACCTACATACTGGAACAAAACCTCAAGTTTTTGTTGAATTTTTAAAGTATTGATGTATTGCAGAAACTCATGGTGGACGAGAAGAAATGCTATTTATTTGGACGCAACCCACAACTAAATGACTTCTGCATAGACCATGCCAGCTGCTCTCGTGTTCATGCTGTGCTTGTCTACCACAAGGTGTTGCAGAAAGCCTTCTTGGTTGACCTGGGCAGCAGTAAGTGAATGTTGAAAGTTAAGTATAGCACAATTTGTATATTAAAATGCTTATTATTAGAGATATTACAGATCTTGTTTTTATTAGAAAACAAAGTCCTAAAGATTAAGAAAAGTCATAAGCTAGCTGGACATTATAATAATTGAAGGCTGTAGTGTTTTAAATCAGCTAGTAATTATGATCAAACTGCATGAAGTAGGTATTTACAATTTGAATAGCACTGTCAGCTGATGTAAACTCATTGAACAAAAACATTTGTATTTGTAAGACGAATTTAAATGTGATTTTGTCACAAATTGACATCAATTGTTGAGTAACATAGACATATTAGTTTACTTCCCTTCAGTATAGCATTGATGCAAACAAATTCATATTTAACATTGTCCAGAAGACTTCGATAACTTTACACTCATTGGGCACTCATCTCCTAAAATTACATATGCTAAAAGTCATCATTTTGAATAATATAATATCAAAAAGATCTTAATTACTTTAACATAACAATTCATTCATTTGCAAAATACTTACCATAAACATTACACACCTGAGCATTGATATGTTTTCGTAACTTGAATCAATTTTAGAGTCAGGACTATAGCTTTACAACAATTTGAAATGGGAACTTTAGGTTCTCATTCTTGGATGTAACTCACAGTTTCTGAATTAAAAATGTCTGTTAGTAGTGGTGTTTATGTCCCCTCAAGGGGGGACTTCCGGCAAGTGTCTGTGCTCGTCAGAAGTCCTACGGGATTTGTCGCTTCTAGGGGATTGTTCCTGAGCATCCCACTGCTGAGCTCGTGCTGTCTGACTGCGGGCTTCAGTTGTGGGGTCAAGTTATTATGTTGGTAGGATTCCTTGCATTTCCCTTCTCTGTCTCTCTCAATCGGGCAGCCAACATCCTGTGTAAGCGCTGCCTCTTGTCCAAGTATATCTTAGTTTCTGTTGCCTGTCACCTCTCCCTTCTTGTCACTTCATCTCTCTCTTAAAATGCTAATGCTGCAGCCTTTGCCCAGCTTCAGCGGGCTGGACAATTGAGACCTTCTGCTCCTTGTGGGTCATGAAAATTTTTTTATTTAAGAAACTTTCATTAATTGAGACTGTCCGCCTTGTTGGTGATGTTCATCTTGATTTTCGGGGCGAGATAGCTAAATAGCTGAAGCGTTAGTAAACATGTGGCCACTAAACTAACTATCTTGGTATTCATGTGCAACTCACTGGAAGTTCTTTGGTAAGACGCAACTCAATGGCCACATTTCAGCATAAAAATTGTAAGCAAACATTTTGTACGAACCAAGCTTGATGCTCAAATGCATTTGCTAAGATTGATAACCCAGCATTTACACCAATATTTTTTACATTAAAATATATGCTGACTTTATTATTCATGCTTAGCTCACGGGACGTTCCTTGGCAAGATGCGCCTTGAAGGCCACAAGCCCACCCAGGTGCCACTGAACTCAACATTTCACTTTGGGGCGTCGACGCGCATGTACACGCTGCGTGAGCGCCCTCACTCTGCCCCCAAGCCCGTCATGGAGGAGCTGGAGAAAATGCCCACTGAGGATGGGGATGGTGCCCTGCTGGGTCTGCCTGAGACAGAGACAGAACTTGATGTGGGTGCTGCTGGGTTGAAATAAGAGAACAGTAATTTGCTCTGTTGTATTTTTTTAAGAATATGCTGATAATTAAGGTGCCTACTGGGTCTGCCTGAGACAGAGACAGAACTTAATGTGGGTGCTGCTGGGTTGGAATAAGAGAACAGTAATTTGCTCTGTTGTTGTATTTTCTTAAGAGAATATGCTGATATTTAAGGTGCCTTGCTAGGTCTGCCTGAGACAGAGACGAAAATTTATGTGGGTGCCATGCATCTCAATGAGGACAGTAATAAGCTCCGATTCTGTATTTTTTCTAAATTGTACTTAAATTAGTGCATTTCTTGAATTTACCTAATAACATCCCAACCACTGTTGATCTTTTTAGATGCTTACATTCATTTTGTTAAAAATAAACGGCTCAATTCATTTATCGAATTCATTTTACATTGCAGTCTTGCACAAAATTTAAAAATATTACCTATGGTATTTCTAATCTTTAGGTGTTCAGAGATTAATGCGTTCATGACCCTACCAGCAAAGTCAGCGATAATTTATGAACATGATTGTAGAACTAAATTAATTTTTGAATCTGATTACATCTAACATACATCAATAGATTTCATTCCACCAACTATGTAACTTTGTGAATTCACAATCCATTGTAATTAAACTCCCTGCAATAGATGTTTCTCCACCAACTAAATAATTTTCTGCATTCAGAATTTAATATCATTTAACACCCACAATAGATTTATTTCCAGCGACTAAGTATGTAACTATGCGTGCAGAACCTGACGGAGTTCAACACGGCGCACAACAGACGCATCACAATGCTGGGCATAGACGACGAGGAGGCAAGACCCAGGAAGAGACACAAGTTCAACATCAGCTTCAAGGATGAGGAAGACGTCATTAACCCTGAAGACATCGACCCCAGCATCGGGCGGTTCAGAAACCTCCTTCAAACTACAGTCGTGCCCAATAAGGTATTGGTAGTCTTTTAGAGTCTTTTAATTAAGGTAGTCTTTTTGACACTTGTTCAACAATCGGTTTAGAGATAAATAACCCCCGCCAAAGTTTTTAATATGTTCAGAGACTAAGAATTAACTTCGCATTAATCACGTTATGTCGCCACGGACAGTCAATGCAAGTACGTAGTAGCGTTAAAAAAAATTTAGTTGAATCCTGCTTACCTCAAGAACTCAACTGGGTTCTATTCCTGGTCTCTAAATAATAATAATGTGGAAGTGTCGATTCAGAATAACTGTGTTTCTCAGTTAGTTGAAGTTTCCCGTTTATTTATTAGAGTTATTGGTATCTAATATATAATTTATAACTGCAAAGGGACGAGTGGTTCAATTTGGCAAGGTACGGTATTTATTAGGATTATTGATATAAAATAATTGAATAATAATGTAATAAACATTGTCTGCTACAGAAGAGACGCATTGACGCTCCGACGGCCTCGATCGCCAGCGTTCGTGCCGGACACGGCCACCGGTCCACACTCCACCCCGACAGCGGGGGACTCTACGAGGACCTTCCCCCTGGGGAGGCTGGGGACTTCATGAGTCCCACGCCTTACCACCACACCCTCGGCAACCCCTTCTTCTCTCCCTTTATCTCCTCCAAACTGGGGCTGCCTCTCCCCAACCCTGCCCCTGAGGTAAGGCTATAGTCAGATTTTGCTAGTTGCTGCTGATTTCATTATATAATTTTGATCCATCTGCGTAGTTGGAGGGAAAACATTGTCATGGAAACAGATTTGTTTGTTTCTAATGATCCAAATTCATTTTATGTCCTTTAACGAACGTATAATAAATTCATTAAGTACAATAATACTTAAAAAATAATTGTTACATGGTTTAGTTTAGTGACTAAATGTTTTCTAATATTTCAGCTATTTTGGTAGATTGAACACTGTAATTAATAGATCGACCTTTGCTATTGTTATTAGATACACCACAGCGATTATTATTACAATGATTAATTATATTTCAGGTAGAGCTATTGCCTCCCGAGCCCCCGCCCTCTGCAGAGGTACCTGCTGTGCCCGCCGCTGGGGCCCCCGGAGCCGACCCTGATGAGCCCAAGAAGAAGAAATACGCCAAGGAAGCCTGGCCTGGCAAGAAGCCCGCGCCTGCGTTGCTTGTATAAACCTGACTTCATCATCCCTTTTGTGTATTTTTATATCAGTGTCTTGTATCCTGCCATTAGCCGGGATGTTGCGTTCTTGAGTTTTGCACACAAAATTACCATTTTGACCATGAAAAACTACAGGAAATTCATTAATTTGTTGTGGAGTGAACATAACAACGAGTATTCATTTGTAGGTGCGAACTCATGTCGGTCGTTTAGGAAGACACTGTTCAAATTAAAAGCTTAAAAAATGTTACTAAACTGAAAGAAATAAGAAAACCTCGTCTAAAAGCATTGATGTCACCTATGTGATACGTAAAACTCGTTGGCTATCAAACGCTTGTTTTCGTTCTCAGAAATATCTTGCATTATCCTAATAATATCATTTCCCATAATGAGGTTGAGAGGAGTGAGTTATAGCAATAGGGTTGAGCGTCCAGACAACTACGACGGTAACTTATCATAGTATTTTTGTAATCATGCGCTCCATGTGAGTAATTGGATAATTTCTTTGATCCTGTCATTTGTTTTCGGTGTTGAAAATTGGATGGATAGTATAGCAATTTAATTGTGCTACTCAAGATAAATTAATTATTTCAGCCAAATTTATTGCCTGGCTTACAGGACAAATCAAGCCAAGAATGAAGATTTAGAACAAATTCTCATCTAGCCTATTCGCATCATGATCGAAGCATCCAGTGTTTTGAACTATGATTGAAATACCAAATTATCTCTATTCGTATCTTATGTTCTTATCTCAAACGACATTCTTTCTCATAATGTCCTTGCAATGAACGAACGCATCGTTTCCTTGCTAACTCTTCTCGCCCATCAACCATCACTGATCATCATTCTCATCACCTACAGGTCCATGTGCATCAATTCTCCGTTATTGTTGCATTTCCCCGTTATAAATAAGGTGCGACATAATTTTGTGCAACTAAATTAACCGTATGTTGTCGTTGCTTTTCTTATTCCTTGCCAGGTATACTCTCCCTGTGTGCTGGATAATGTAATCAGTTTCTCGCGCGCCTTTATATTGTTGCTTATGTTAACCAAAAATAATTTTTTTGGCAGTCTATTTTGTGTTGCTCGCCAGTCGTCATCGTGCGATTACTTCCAGGACTTCAGCAGCTGAACGTCTTATTTTTTTATTCATTAGGAAAATTTGACTGCCGGCAGAATTATTCATTCTCAAATGTATGATGAGGCTGGGCATCTCCTTTAGCCATGGTGAACTCTTGAATTATTGTGACATTTTGGTTTGTGAATACTTCTACATTTCTTATCAAAATGGTTCAAGACTAATATGGTTATATATGCATTTCTCTGCTATATTCCCGAGAAAATGCGCGCATTATAAACATTTTGGCAATTCGCAATTAATTTGGCAAAATAAACAAGCCAATTGTGCGTGAAATTTAGAAGTTAGAGCATGAAACCTCTGATTAACATTCAGGTTCGTTGAAATCAAACCATCCTCTATCCAGATAACCTTACGGGATGCTGGTGCATTCAGCCCCACCTGCAGGCTTATACTATTTAATCGAACTATGTTGACTTAGAGAACACTGGTAGCCATGGTATGATTATTCATAATGTGGAGTCACTGGAGTGCGAATGTTTTATATGAATTTTAAAACCACGCACGGTTACCTCATGTTCGTGTTGTCATCTCAAGGTAATAGCATCCGTACAATTACGTGTAATATTATTATTAAGCAACTAGTTTGATTACCGAATGTTAGTAATCAGTTAATGTGATCTTTTCTTTGAGCGATTTTTGGATTGTCATTCGTTTTTTCTGAATTTCAGCTTTTATGATTCAAGATATTTGCCCGGAATTCAATTTGCGTAGCAAATGCACCAGCGTAGAGGGTTACGTGACTGCCCCTCGGGACCCGAAGTTAATTACTAATTTTATGACTCAATGAATGCAAGCGTTCGGTATGAACAATATCATCAGTTCATTCATCAGTTCATTTCAAACGTCTTGGTGGCGCTGCAACTTGGGTAAGTGAGGGAATTTTTTCCCACCTGCACCGCTGCTACAACAATAGTGAAGTACTTAAATCATTAGCTTGCTTAAATCGAAAGTTCACCGAGAATTTAAAAGCAAATAAAATTCACCGTATCGTCATTGAAAACGCTTCGGAGATCAGCTTCATCAGCAGTTAAAAAAAACTTAATCGAGTTGGTCTTTGCAACGTTTTCAACGGCGATATGGTAAACAATATTGGGAAATTACAGCCCATAAATATCCAATGCCTCATTAGCCCCTTAGCTTCCTGTCCAGTAAAGCGCGCCGTATGCTCGGAAAATCTGGGATCGCAGAGACCCGCACCTCTGTACACGTTCAGGCTTTCCAATTTTAGTTGTGCTCATTGATTTGGATATATTCCCAACTTGAAAGAAAGGCAGTAAAATTAAGAAGAGTAGTTTCGATTGGAGAACGAGAGAAAAATTGTCGAGTTAAAGATTAATAAAAAAATATAACTCGGTACTCACTGCAGTGAGTGACAGAGAGCGCATTTTCTCGTCGATGAAAACTTGAGGTCACGGACAGACAGACAGACGGACATGGCGAGCACAATAGTGCATTTTTTCCATAAATGAGAAAATGAGCTAAAAACAATGCGAAAATCTGCGGGCGCCTGTTTCTGGTTCATGTTTCCTACTTTTAGTTTTACTCAATTGAATATTTGAATAAATTCACCATTCAATGGCATATCTCGGTGCTTTAGATGACACGTTATGAATTCTTAAGCAAAGCTGTTATTAATAGTATGAAAATTGCAGGCGGGATTATTTTTGTTGATATATTACGAGTTGTGTTGCTCTAGTTGTACATTGAAGCCTCGGTGCTATCGTCGAAGATGTCGCTGAGAAGACTCCTCCTGGACGTTCGACAGTTGAGCGTGCAATATTCGGGTGAGTCTCTAATGGTGTTACTCTAGTCGGTAATGTATGGCCGTGGCATATTCAGTGCTCTTCATCTATAATTATTTATGGTTATCTTTTACTCTCTAATGGTAACTCTAATTGTCAATCTCGTATACATTGTGTATTATTGATTATTTTATTTAGTTTGATTATTAATATATCCGTAAACAAAGGCGATATTAAATTTCCATTCATATGTTGGAAATTATGATAATGATTATTTAGGCACGCATTACCAGGCATGCCTAGTAATAATTCATTATTTATTGATGCTCTGACATACTAGATTTGAAAACTTAGGAAAGTTTAAAGCAATTTAAATGCATCATTCTGTGGCTGGGGCACCAAATAATGTACCATAAATGTAAGTCATCGAAAATTTTCCTTCGGATTAAGAATTCATAGTAGATTAACTAGGAGGGAATATCACATAAATTCTATTACAACTCAAACTTTAAGTATCACGAATATTGAATAATCCGCTGTTCCTCTGGGCCAGTTCGCAGCTTCGGCAGTTCGGTAGCTGTGCGTCACGAGGCCAGCAGAGGCGGCGAGGCTGGCAAGACGTCGCTCAAGAAACCCAGCACTCCTGGTGGTGCGTGAGCCCAACACTCGTCCTGGCTATCTTATTACTCATATTAATAATTATTATGACAAATAGTATTGGTTAAACCGTACCTATCGACCTTAGCTCGATCAGTCGGTGCGTGAGCCCAACACTCGTCCTGGCTATCAAATTACTTATATTACTTATTATTATGACAAATAGTATTGGTTAAACCGTACCTATCGACCTTAGCTCGATCAGTCGGTGCGTGAGCCCAACACTCATCCTGGCTATCAAATTACTTATATTAATTATTATTATGACAAATAGTATTGCTTAAACCGTACCTATCGACCTTAACTCGGCCAGTCGGTGCGTGAGCCCAACACTCATCCTGGCTATCTTATTACTTATATTAATTATTATTATGACAAATAGTATTGGTTAAACCGTACCTATCGGCCTTGGCTCGATTATCTCAGACTTATTCATGAACAACTCCAATACCACTCGGACATTACAGTGCTGGAGTTGGTATCAATCTATTTTGCAGTAATGGTATCTACGAGTTACACCTTACCAGCATTTGGAGAATAAACTCTAAACTAATTAGTGTCTGTCAATATTAAAGATAATTAGGTATTCATACCAAAAATTGTTTCGTATTCATAATGATACACCAAATTTATTCATGGATAAAAATTCTGAGAGTAATTCCCGACGATATTTATACATCCATCAACTGTCATTCATGGTATTTCTATTCCAAAGCCTTGTAACCGGAGTGTTTGAATTATATCAGTGGTTCCCAAAGTGGGCGATATCGCCCCCCTAGGGGCGATGGAAAGATTTTGGGGGGCGGTAAGGAAGAAGAGGGCGGTAGGGGGGCGTAATCCGAAGTCAATGTCAGAAGTTCGAACGTTTGTTTGACGACACACACGTGCACACATGACTCCCAGCGATGGTTTTTTTTCACCCAGATCTTTTTTTTAACCTCTCCTGGGTTTACGTCTCGAACAAATTAACGGCCGGACTCGCAGCCGGTCTCGCGGCCAGTTTCCAAATTCCATGATCAAGGAATATCTCTCAAACTAATGAACTTAACTCGATGAAACTTGGTTCACGTATTCATTATAGGACCTAACAATAATGTTCTGCTAGTGAAAAGTGTTAGAATTTAGCCATCGTTTGTTTTTGCCATAGTTATATGGCAATACGGGCCGAAATTCACAGTGATCAAGTAATTTCTTCCAAACTACTGAACAGATTCGAACGAAATTTTGAATTTACAGTCCTAACTACCAAACGGTGATGTTTAGCTCGTGAAATTTTTTCGATTGTGCCTTCGTTTGCGAGTTTTTTTTTTTCATTTCACCTTCATTCGTGATTTAAACAGCAATACGTGCTTAAATTTGCAGTAATCAAGAAATTTTTTCCAAACTACTGAACAGATTTGAACGAAACTTAGTATTTAAATACCTAACCTCAGCAACGGTGATGTGTAAAATTTTTCATCCTATATCGTTCCTCCTATATCTGTATAACTCGTGAACGAAAGCAAAATAGAAAAATTTTCACGAGCTAAACATCACCGTTGAGAGGTTAGGAAATATACGGGCCGAGTATACGGAAGTGTGCAATCAAGAATGACGGGGAAAAAAAACTCGCAAACGAAGGTAAAATAAACAAAAAAATTTATAAGCTTAAAAATCACCGTTTGGTAGTAGGAATGTATATTCAAAATTTCGTTCAAAACTGTTCAATAGTTTGAAAGAAATTCCTTGATCACTGCGAATTTCTGCCTGTATCGCAATATACGCGTAACTCACAAATGAAGGTGAAATTAAAAAAAAAAGTCGAGCTAAACATCACCGTTAGGTTCTGATGAGTACATGTTTCAAGTTTCATAGAGCTGCGTTCATTAGTTTGAGAGATATTACTTGATAATTGAATTTGGAGATTGGTCGTGAGACCGCTTACGAGTCCGGCCGTAAATTCGACCGAGACGTCCTAGGTTTCTAGTGCTGAAACAGTTAAAACAGCTGAAAAAACATATTGTTTCACTAAATGGGGTTCTATTTGTGTAATACACATTTGTGTTTAATATTTATATTTTAAAATTGCAGCGTACTAAATTTCAAGAAAGAGTCCTATGTCTGTGGGGGGCGTTAGAAATTCAGTAGGGAGCCCAAGGGGGCGCCGGCGCCAGCCTGAAAAAGGATGGGAACAACTGAATTATATAAACCGCCCTTGTGTAAATGATTAATGCCATTTTCTACCTTACTTTGTAAATGGATATGCCCTTGTACAAATGATAAATGCCATTGTGTGCCTGACTTTGTCAATAGTAGATATATAATAAAATATATAATAAAAGTGAAGTTATATTTCAATGGAATGCAGGCAAGCTTGACAGCGATGAGGCGGCCTCCCCCGCGACAGTTCACCCGTTCCAGGAGAAGGAGCCTCTGCCGCCCTTCCCCAACAACACGAACCCCGCGACGGGGGAAGTGGGGGGACCCCGCGGCCCTGAGCCCACGAGATACGGCGACTGGGAGAGGAAGGGCAGAGTCAGTGACTTCTAAGGGGACGGGGAGGTAGGGGGATTTTTGAGGGGCGAGTTAGAGGCGATTTTTGAAGGATGAAGTAGAGGGATTTTTGAGGGGGGAAGTAGGGGGACTTTTTAAGGGGGGGAGGTAGGGGGATTTTTGAGGGGGATTTTTGAGTGGGGAAGTAAGGGGACTTTTTAAGGGGGAAGGTAGGGGGATTTTTAAGGGGGGGAGAGTGGGAGATTTTTTGATGGGGGTAGATAAGGGGACTTAAGAGGGTAGGGCAACTTCCGAGGGTAAGAGGAGGTAAGGGAACATCTGAAGGCACAAGGGAGGCAGGGTGACTTATGAGGGTAGGGGCCAGGGGGACATTAAAAGATAGGTGATATTTTAGGGATCAGACTGAGAGACATGGTAGGCTGAAATGACATAAATTAAAGAAGTTTGAACCCTCGTTGGCTGACGTACGAAGTAAGCGTAGCGCGACTGCTGGAAATTTTGTTTCTCCTGAGAAATGTAGGGTCGAGACTCGACAAATGTTCGATGAGTTGCATGTATAGTGGCGATTGTATTAAAATTAAGTTTGTAATTACGCTATGCAGTTTCAGACATTTAATTCAAAACAATTATTGTAAGTTGGAGAGTTCGTCTATTGTTCAAGCAGAGTAGCGATACAAAGTTTTTTATTATCCAATATTTAAAGGTAGAAGTGAAAATTCACAATAAATACAGAAATATAAACTTTTTCGGAAATTTTCTACTAGTTACTTGAAATATTATAAGTGCCTCTGATGACTACTCTGAAGAGGCGATTTACTTTGCCTTCCTAAAATTCCTGTATAAACACGATGACAGCATCGTGTCCCCGCTAGTGATACACTTGTGTTCATGTCTTTTTTGATGGTCTTTGAAATTGATGTAAGAAATTACCTAAATTTTAGTACGGTCCCCTGATGTACAAAGTCAGGCCGCTAGACGAAAGGAATACTTCGAACTCGAAAATACCTAAGGATCCAATTTCGAATTCAACGATTGGTTAAGAGATTTTTATGATAACGCTACTACACCTAACTCCATCTGTAAACTGGAAAAATGCAAGTAGAGTCACAAACATATAGGTACTAGAATGGAAGTTAAACTGGATTCGCAGGCAATAGACTCTTCGTTTCGTCCACTGCATTTTCCTCACCAAGCGCATGTAACATTTCACATATTTGACCAAATTAGAAACGATCTAGGAAACTTACGAAAGCGTGGAGCAAGCGCGTCTCACGTGAATGTGTTTATAAATTATCTATTCATACAAAAATCGTATTTATAATTTCGGGATGCAAGTGAAGACACTTCACGCCTTCAAGTGGCAATAAGTGGCGCATCCTATACTGTGTTACGTTGTATACTGTGATGCATAGTATATTCAATTCATAACCCACTTTTCAGTGCAGAATAATTATTTGCGAGCAAGCAAAAGAGTTCAGATGCCAAGGGCTCTGGATCCGGCTACATAAGAATAACGATTGCGTTTGACGACACTCTAAATGTGAAGCAAATACGATGCGTACAGATTAGGCCATACAAATCGGAGGGTTAGGGGTGAATAAGGCAATGCGTCTGTCTCAACTTTAACGACTGTTGAAAAAAAAGGCGACTTAATAATATCTTATTTGAGACAACCACTTCACAGCGCATGGCCATTATCGTATGTTGAACAGTTCCATTATAAATTGAAAAGCATCTAGACTTTTGTTGCCTAACAAGAATCAGAAACAACTAAGACTTATTTCTAACTAAGTATTGCTTAAAATTATACATACCGTAGGTAAACTTAACTAGGTACTGAAAATTTCTCCATGGAAACGAAGCTGGAATAAAACTCATCACACTCTACCTGAGATAAAAATAAAATGGTGAAAAATTTTTCCAGCTAGCTAACACTGGGAAAAAATTGAATGCCTTTTTAATATCGGCACGAGCTCGCGCAAAACATTAAGTATTTTTAAGCACTATGCGTCATGTGTTACTTATGATGTTAGCTACACAACTTGAAAAGAATCAAAGATCGCTACGTCGATAGGTAATTGGCATCAAGTACCAAATCTCCAAAATATAACAAGTAATGCATCGCATAACAGCAGTCTCGCATTATCTTTCTATACATCGAACACTCGACGAGCTTGCACGTTTGAAAAAAAAATCATCGGTAATTAAAAGACATTGTACGATCGTGTATGCAGATAGAAGAAAGTTTAACAGCTTTCTTTTGAAAACGTACTTTAAAAGAAATAATAACATAGACTTGATGTGCGGAAGTATTGTGTAACATAAAAATAAACAATGAGCTGATGCTGCCACAATTCCTCATAATGATACGAACTAAAACTAATATCATGAACTAATAAACTATTGATTCTTGGAGCCGAAGATGCCGGCGTAGGCAATGGAGCGTCGCTCGTGCACCGACACCTCCATGAGGGAGTCGTCTTCAGAGGAGCCCTTGGCCACCATCACGTGACCTGCCGAAGCAAAACATTAGTGACATTCAATACTGCAGGTGAACTGATAACATAACTAGTGATGCAGATTATAAGAGCACGAACGGAGATTAATACTGCAGGTGATCTGAACGACTTTTGATACAGATCATACAGGTATACATATGACGTTGAAGTTATTCAAGTTTTTGGTGAACCTACATAAGGTAACAGATATTTTTTCAGAAGCAAAATATTAGAAAAAATCATTAGTGCAGGTGATCTAATAAGACGAATAGGAATGCAGATCAAAAGAGCAGGAGCAAAGTTAAATTCAAGTAATAATGGTTAAACTAATCATTTATCTACCAACATAAATCAATATCATTTGATTATCATAATTCAACTATAATTGAAATTTACACAAGTAAGCGAATTAGAACAATTATGAGTTTCTGGCCTGACAACAGAGAATATATGAGCATTGTATTTCATCTCTGATTCATCTTTTAGTCTGAATATTGAAATCAGGGATGAAATGGAAGAAGATAAATTTTCCCTAACTCGAGACATTTCAGGAAAAATTTCTATCTACATGTAAGAAAGCTCTGGAATGCGGGGACTAATAAAATCAAAAAGATAAATATTTCTAATGCATGAGGTGGAATTCCATGAATATCAGTGCACATGATCATGTTAGATCCAGCTCCATAACTTGCTCGCTTCAAAAATTCAACTTGAATTATACGATAAAACTATAGTTTCATGGTTTCCGATCCAATATGAAACGTGTACAAGTTCATATATGAAATGTGTACACGTTCATTGCCCCCCCCCCTGTTCCATCATGCTTCTACTGCAAGGCGCTGAGTTTACCTGTGTGTCTGAGGACTTGCATATGTGGGTCATTGTGACTCAGCTCCTGAGGTTTGCCCTGACAGCATGGACGCTTGGGTGCGGCGTTCTCTTTGTTGTTCTGTGGCAAGAAGGTTGGATGTCTTACACCAGCACCATTAGGTATACTAATGCAAGCACCATTAGTTACACCAGCATAATTAATTTCATTTAATTTATTACAATTAATTTCAATCTTATTCAAAAATAAGATTGTTTGTTTGCTTCCTGTTGCGTTTATCCTAAATAAATAATTTTCCGAATAGAACTAACATATGTACAGGACACAAGCTAGAATGGAATAATCGAAATGATAAATACAAGAAAGTAGTTAGTAAGGATAAATAATCAATTCAACAATAATATAAAAATAGCAATAATATGACCAGCTGCAAGGCAGGAGCGTTGGTGTAGCGCACGAAGGGCAGGGGCGTCTTGAGCACAGCTGGGGCCGCGGGTCTCGGGGGCGCGGAGTTGTGGGCACTCAGAGGGGATTGCTGGGGAATAATTATGGGTTTATAAGAGCCTAATAAAAATAAGATCAGATTTTTGTGGGGAAAGCTCAAAGCACGAGTCTAATATATCTATAGGAATATACATCATAATCTGAGGGAAGATTTGTGAACAAACTCACGTATAACATCGTCACGATTCAATCTTTTGAGCTTCATTTTCATTCATGGAAGAATGGACCATCCCGAAGCAGGCGTCACATCATGAATTATTATCACTACAATTTCAAAGCTAATCTCTCATTCAGCACGCAAGACTGATGAAAGTTACATAATATATATTCTATGTATACATCTACAAAAAATATCTTTTAGCTTATGAACCAACCTTGGAGGTAAGTTGGTCCAGTGCTTTCTGGATGCGGTCAATTTTTTGGTTCCGTTCCCTTATGCTGTCATCAAGATCAACAGGAGAGGCTGCGTTCTGGCTGGCACTGCTTGGTTCGTTGCGAGGCTCATGGAGTCTGGTAGGACTAAGACAATACTTGGGTCTGACATTTGTGTAGAGCAATGGAGGAGGGTTTTTCGCGAGGGAACGAGCAACAGGACCTTGTGGAGTAGCAAACCTGGGCGTTTTGGGCGCAGTTCTGTTGGGTGTAGAAGCTAACGAGACTGGTTTGGCTGATGAGGCTGCGGAAGAATGAGAGAATTTGAGTACTTGAGGATTTGTTGTCTGCAGTGACGATTGTGTAAATGGCCGACGAGAGTTTTGTGGTATTTTCTTGGGAGGGAGGCTGTGGGTTTGGTTGACATTCTTGTATACTGGAACTGTTCGGACAGGGGTTCTGAAAATTCCAGTTTCGAGTGCATGACTGCTAGGATGACGGGACAAATTAGAAGATGATGAAGTGTTTTTTGGTGACTTGCAAGGGTTATTTGAAGACATTACTCGTCGAGATAGAAGACAGGTTGCTGAATCGGTAGGAGCACTTTTTGGAGCAGCCATGGGAGACCTGAGAGCTGGCCTTGGAGTTCTACTCTCCACGTCATCCTTCTGCCGATTCGACTCCGGAAGTGGATGTTTTTTGCTCGTAGAATCGTTCATCAAACTTGGAGAAACAATAGCAATTGGCTTCACTTCTAGGTTAATCGGAGCTGACCGAGGAGGCTTGGCAGGAGTCACTTTAACTGAATGGCATTTACTTGATGGTTTTTCGAGGCTTTTGCGGGGTGTCTTAATCACAAGATCTTTTCTGTTAACACATGAACTATGTAGCTTGCTATTCTCCGTTGAAGAACCTATCGCATGTTCAACAATGCGATTTTGTTTGCCACCTAGCGTGGAGTTGGTAGAGGTTCTGACAGATTTTCCAGCCTCCCCAGAGGGCAGTTCATTTGGAATTACAGGGCGAGGGATGCACGACGTGTGAGTTGAATCGAACATGGGGGTAAAGGAGCAGTTCGATGCAATACTTGCCAAGCTATGTTTCTTACAACCAAGTATAGTTGACTCGTCCTCCAGCTTTATTTCATTTCGAAGATCAGTACCTACGGCTATTTCTTTGACATCCTCTCCACCAGAGACTTCATGGATGGCCAAATTGGCAGGTGCAACTTCAGAACTAGACGAGTTGTAGCTGCCAACATCCGATACAGTTTTGTTCACAGTGCCATCATGGTGTGACGACGTTGCAGTGATGCTACGCCCGTCTTCCTTCTCCTCAGGTATGGTGGAACAGCTTTTTGGTGGCTCTCGCACCAAATCTTCAACGACTTGTTGTTCCTCCTGCTTTTGAAGTCCTTCGTTGTACTCTTGGCTAGCTTTCAGTAAGTAATCCATTCTCTCCAACGTATCATTAAATTGCATCATGACATCATTAAGATCATGTGAAGCATCATAATTTTGGTCATTGAAGCTTTCATCCTCGTCTGACTCCCTAGCAGTTTCAAGTGCTTCCAGCAAATCCAAATTGTCGACATGAGATGAATTTTGCACTTCAGAATGATTTTGTTCAACTAGGTCAACTTCGGGTTCATATTGAGTTTCAGAATTCCCCTCCGAGTCAGTCAAGAAAGTTCCATAAATATCAGGCTTGTGCACATCAATAACTTCTAAAGCAGAGAAGAAGCTCTGTCTTGGGACTGAATTATGTTCACCAAGAGAACGGATCACACTGTCAGCATCTTTCTTCAAATCCACAATACCAACCGCTTCATCTAAGATTTTGTTTTCAACCTTAGTATCAGCAGGAATATTTTGCACTTGCACACCAGAAGTGAGGTCAATATCTTGAAATCTATTTCTCAGAGCATTGCTTTGCAAGGCTTTAGAAGATGCACTCTCTTGCATCAGACCAAGTTCTTTGTTGATGTTTCTGACAGGGGATCTTGTCGGCACTGAAGCAATGATTGCCTTGAAAGGGCTGGTATCTGATATTGTCCCTTCCTTCAATTCACGAGCAAATGTCAGAAATTTTTCCCGAGCGGGAGAACAGGGCTGCATTTTCACCGGAGTCGTGGTCATATTTCTGCAGATAAATGCGGGTACATTTGGCTGTGATGCCGTCGTAATATGAGAATTCCTCTTAGTAGGAGATGGAAGGCTCAAAAGATTATCATCAGTAGAAAATTTATTAGTGTTGCAAGCTATTTCTTCTTGCATTCCAGTTTTTAAGTCATTCAAAGCTTGACAACTATCACCCACGTCTGATTCGCCGCTCTGAAGTGTTTTGCGTTCTTGGTCCGCAATAGCAACATCAGCTAGAAGGCACAGTGACGAATTTTCTGAGAGTGAATCAGAGCAACTCTTCCCTCTTGTACAATGATCAGATTTCTCAGATTCTTCCAATCCATTAGTTTGGGTTGAACAATTATCTTCAGATGGGGATGATTTGATATTAGAACACAACTCAATAGGATCATTATAATAAATATCATATTTTGGAGGTGGAGTGATGAGCTCTGATGGTGTGAGGGGTGTTGCAGCTCCACATGCCAGTTTTCTATGCATGATCATTGAGGGAGGAGTTACGGAGCATAAATCTGCACAGTCAGAAGGGACATTTTCATTAGATAAATCAATGGATATATCAACTTTCTCATTGAAACTTGAGTCATACTGAGCACTTGGTTCACCAAAACTATCAACTTCAGCCTCCAGTTTGGGTTGATTCATGTCAACAGGCTCTTTTTCAACACACACGTCCCTGTTGTTATCATTTGAGATTTTACTTTCAGCACCTTCTTCAATGCAATCAAGATGAGTCGAAAGGTCCTGAATATCATTTTCATCAATGCTGATGATGGAAAAGCGGTCAGATAGGTAACTGTAATCACAGGCAGCACCAGCAAGAGCATGCAAGTTGTTAGAAGCAATACTCGAGCCTGCGTTAGATGGCACATCAGGTCTGTGCTCTTCTTTGTCATGTACAGCTATTTCCATTGGTTCATTGTCGCTACTTCCCAAACAAGAGGCATCAGGAATATTCATGCCAGGAGTATGGCTAGGTGGATTCATTTCTTCAAAAGATTGACCAGTTGAGTTCATTACACACTTATTATCATTAGTTTCAGCAACATTTGAGGTAAGGTTGGTGATTATATTATCAGATCCACAAGCCGAATACACAAACGAATGTGATGCAACAGTATGACTGTCATCAGAAGTTTCCCCACAGCCAAAGTAACCTGATGAGTTGATCTGACCACCATCACTCTCAACAGCAAGGGTGGCTTCACTAGAGTATCTTTTACTATCCTCCAAGTTGACAATTACAGATGTGGTCGCACTGTTTCCACTGTCAGTCTCCATGACATCACTGGAAATAGCATGGGATTCAATAAGCACAGGCTCCTCACACATGGACGACTGATTGCTCTTCAGTGATGATCCTTCATTACATTTGCTTTCATCTAGGAGATGAACCATTGGCTGAATGCCAGGAGAAACACCCCCCAGGTCGCTGCTTCTGACAAGGGTCTCCTGTACATCAGTAAAATCAGGAATTGGAATAAAACTACTGGCAAGATCATCAGAATCGGGTCGCAATAACACCGGTTCAAAACATTCTGTGACACTGCAGGAAGCTCTTGAAGTTTGACAAGCATAATCCTGGCTGGAGGGGGATCCATGCTCAACGATCGTGCATGAAGTTGACTGGGGAGTCTTGAGATGAATCTGGTCGGCAACTGAAGTGGCTTCCTTGTTAGTGGCCTTCTCTTCTTCAGATGCAGCTTCTCCAGCATCAGGAATGGATTCGTCTCTGTTCAAAAGATTAGTGGAGTTGTACAAAGCTCCGTGAAAAATAACCATATAATCCATCAAACTTTTGCCACCAGGTCAAACAAGTATGATAAAATAACTGAGTGATAAATGAAAACATATTAAAGGATAGATACGTGAGTGGCAATGATTTAGGAAATATATAAAAGCTATGTAACAAAGCTGTTCAAACATTGATCACTAGTAAGATAAATTATTTTTATTGATAGCTCTGTATTACACAAATTGAAGAACCATGGCAGTGAAATGAAATGGAGCTCTCAATACTAGAAATATCTGGACAACAAAGATGCACTTTTTTTTTCATTTGGAAAATTCAAACATCCAGCTATCCAACATGTCATGAGGGCATTGAAAAATCATGAATACAATAATATTGTAAAGTAGGCTAACAAACATGGCCTTTATATAGGTACATGAACAGTACTTACAGTTTTGGACTAGCATCCACCTTAATTCAAGTTCTTGCAATTTATTTAATAATAAAAACACTTGGATGATTTCTACACAGATCAAAGTGAGGTCTTCCTTTTAAGGAAAATTCCTAGAAGAGAAATCAGTTAACTACTCACTCAAGTTTATAGTCAACGAAAATTATACCCACTGGACCCAGTAATCATTCTAATATGCTAATTCATTCTGGATCATGCCTATGAGACCTAGCCAAAGCTGGGCAATGCTAATGACACCTAGCAATAGCTGGGCAATGCTAATGAGACCTAGCAATAGCTGGGCCATGCTAATAAGACCTAGCCACAACTAGGCAGGCCATGCTAATGAGACTTAATTAGGCACAATCCCAAATAGACTATGCTAATGAGATCTAGCCCCAACTAGACCACAGAAAATAAGTGCTGAGTTAGAGTATCACAATGATAATTACTGGGAATGGAAGGTTGCTGGGTCTAAGAGCTGTGCCTTGCGCTCCTCCAGTTGCTGGATCTTCCGAAGTTCCTTCTCAGTTACAACAGGTCCGAAGAATATCTCGTCTTCACTGTCACTGCTAATCATTGTGATCACTGAAAAATAATTACAACTTTATTAAAAACAAACTATAAAAAAATCTGGAAAAATAATCTTGCTGATTTATTATTGTGGGTAATTTATACATGCTATTCATTTCCACAATGTAGCATTTAAATTAAATTTCAATTTAAATTCACCTATAATATTCTATTTTCTTCTTTTATTAATTGATATAAGAAGCACAAATACATATTAAATCAAATCAATAATTCATATCTACTGAAAACATTCTGAAGAACATGACAAAACATAAAAAATCCTTAACAGTGAAGCGCGGGCGTCTATGTCTATCATTTAGAAACAGCTGCATTGATCGCACAAGTGCGCGCATCGGTATCGATCATCAGGCATCAGTCAGAGTTGCACTTTTGTTTTTCTAGCAAACATACTGGCAACTTTCTGTCCTGGCGTACTGGTGTACATCCCAAAATAAACTTCCAGCGCCCACGCAACAACTTCCAGACCACGGACAATCAATTTCGGGGTCCTTGGCAGCCGTTTGCTGCGAACATCAGCATCCACCGTCCGTTTAGATGGTGCCTTGGCATCTTCAGGACAGAATAATGGCATCCTCAACCTATGTTGTGCCATACTCTACAGACTGGGTGTAACTGCATAAGGACCATATCTATCTATTGGTCCTTGCTGTTTTTCAAAATTCTAATTTTTGCAGGTGGGGTGGGCATTTTTCAAAATAATATTGATTCCCCCCCCACCTTTTTGAATTTCCTCCCTTTTTTCAAATATTTTCAAAACTATAACGAAATTTGTCCGAGAGTAGGTCGCGGAAACAAGTCCTAATGTGTTTACCAACAGACCTAGTTAGCTATTGAGTCCACAAGTCAACATCTGATAGACACGTGATAGATCACGCGATCAAGACCGCAGTAGTGGGCGGAAGCGAACGTTATAAAAGGGCTAGCAACCTAGAGCAAACCCCCCAGTAGCTGATAAGCATTCCGCGATGTAGCGTGTAGCTTGAGTTCTCCGACCTTACGGTTGATGCCGTAGCTCATAACTCTGTATTACCACCCCGTATACAAGATACGTTATCTGAACTCATTATATTAAGCTCTATCTGAGGATCGGGTTACGTTGACTAAGGTAGTGAGGGATAAGTAAGACACATAAGTCCAGATAACGTATCTTGTATACGGGGTGGTAATACAGAGTTATGAGCTACAGCATCGACCGTAAGGTCGGAGAACTCAAGCTACACGCTACATCGCGGAGTGCTTATCAGCTACTGGGGGGTAATTTAAAAAAAGCTATAACCAATCTCAAGATCTTTTATTTGTGAATTAAATGGTATATCTTTCATTGCTGTAGCTTGAAAACTCTAGGAGGAGATAGGTTTGCAGTGACAATAAGTGTGAATGTTCAGTAAAGTGCGGCAAAGACCCAACTCCCAAGCGCCTTGAATTAGGCATTAAAGGTGGCATGGATACATGACTAGACGTTACTGGAGCTGAAATTCAGTCAAGGAGGGTGGAAACGACTGCATGAGAACCATCCCACATGACAGCAGCTAAGAAACTAAAGATCAGCGTCTTCAGGTTGTCTATTTACGTGCCCGGCCGGTGCCTATCTTAAATGTGAAATAACAAGGCCCCCTGAAGGATTACCTACTAGAACTTGAAACAAGAACCAACACCAGGGGCTATGGCTATAAACTAAAAAACCTGCGCTGCAACTTCTCCACGCGCCAACATTTCTTCTCACTTCGAATCACCGACATTCGGACAGTGGAACAGCCCAGAGTGCAGAGGGTGGATGCAGCATTGCCAATATACAGGTTTTCAAGCCCTAAGCGTTGCCGGGTAATTTTAAGATGCGTCGTTGGATAATTTTTAATGAAAAGCCATTTACGCTGAGTAATGAAAAACTATTTACAAGCCACAAACTTATTTACAAGGTTGCATGCATGTGTTACCCCATATAACTAATTTTGCCCTAAAAACAGTTCAATTGTACAGCAAGTGTCAACTGAACATGTGATAATGCAGTCTGACCGCTCTAATGCGACAGCAACTACGTAATCGTAAACTTGATGTTTACTTTTTTTGGCGGGAACTCATCGCAACTGATTTCCGGACAAGCATTAAATGCAAGAATTTCAATCTAAATGTGTCAGCAAGATCTTCTGAAGGCATAAATTTTGCTACTGAAGCATTGCCAAAGATCTTGCAATATTCATCCACTCTCTGCTCAGTGGGGAACAGCCTCCCAATGACATTGTTGGCGCTCCAAGTATGAACGCATTCAAGAACAGACTAGATAAAGCTATGGAAGAATATATGTTCAGATTTGAAATGCCTAGCACCATATCAAACCCACAGGGGCAAAGCAGAGTTTTTTAGACTCTCCTTCAAGTTCATTTTTGAGTCCTATAAGTAGACCAGTAAAGTATCCTGGATACCAGCATTATCATACATAAGAAATTGGCTTAAATCTTGAGTAAATGAGGAAATTAAAAATGAACTAAATTCTAAAAAAGCTCTGGTTTGCCACTATGATCAAACCCAGTGGAAGTCTAGTACGGTAGCTACTTGAAACTATCATCAGTCATGAAAAGGTCCGATCAAATGAAATGATATTAGATCTTCTGTGAACAAGGCACAAAAAGGAAAAGAATTGACAACAGGCCACACTTCACACTTCAGCGCCGAGATCAATATGTTATGTTATGATGTTTCTAGTCTAGGTACATCAATAATTGAACTTGCATACAAACCTAAATCACGCATAGTAGCAAATGAGCAGCTAAAAAACTACTTACAGAACTTGATGAACTTATGAAGGTCAATATATAATTCTCTTCACTAGTTTTTCACTACTAGCTGATGGAAGTCATAGCCTACTACAGTACTAACAGTAGGGCTACAAGATTAAAAAATTTTTGCAACTCCTGCAAAGCTGCCCAGCACATAATTTGAGTGTTTTCATAACTTAAATGAAGAGCAGTGCAGTGGAGGTGTTGCTTTGTGGGTTAGAACCTCTTATGGGGCCCAGCAAGTCAAGTTATCAGCAGAACATCAATAAGCTAGAGAATCAGTGTGGTGCAAACTTACTCTAAAAGGCAAAGATAGCCTCCTCATAGGCGTTGTGTATAGATCACCAAACAGTTCTTCTGATAACGATAAAGTACTAAACAGTCATTGACCGCGCATGACTTTCCATAGGTCACACACGTTGGTCGTTGGTGATTTTTATCATCCAGAGCTAGACTGGATAGATGGATCCTCTCCAAGGGAAGAGAATCACCCAGCATCCTTGTTCATGGAGTCAGTAAGAGACTCCTTCCTAGTCCAGCACGTTACCAAATCAACCCATTATAGAAGTAAACAGACTCCCAATATTCTAGACCTGGTATTTAACAGTGATGAATCAATGTTGGATGAGCTTCGTCATGAGGCTCCGTTGGGCAAAAGCCATCACCAATCATTGTTTTTCAGACTCAAGTGCTGTACAGAAAGGACGCCTCGGAAGCATGAGCGTTTGAATTTTGCGAAAGGCGACTATGATAAACTCCGTGAAGCAGTGAATATTTTTAACTGTATTAAGGACATGAATGTGGCTGAGTCATGGTCACTTCTCAAGGACATGGTTATGTCAGCAGTTGATGCACGTGTACCTAAAATTAAGCTTAGTGGAGCCAAAAAAAACTCGGTGGATGAACAGTACAGTTTTAGCTAAGCTGAAAACAAAGAAGGAAGCATACCAGCATTATTTACAGACTCGTAGCAATGCTGACTATAACCTATACGCAAGAGCTTGAAATCAAGCTAAAGAAAGCTGTCACACCACAGTAAAAACCCTCAACGCTAGCTCAAAGTGCAAGACGAAGGATGGTATTTCTGATTTGAAAGTAGATCAGTGAAAGATATCCTCTGATGAGGGCAAAGCTAACGTATTTTTTTCAGTAGAGTACAGTATTCACTGAAGAGGACTTGAACAGTATTCCAGCTATTGAGGAGCGCCCAGTCAGCTCTAAATTAACAAGCTTTTAAATACAAGAAGAAGAGGTTCTCAAGCGCCTTATCGCTGTAAATCCAAACAAGTCATGTGGACCAGATGGCTTCCACTCCAGATTACTCAAAGAGTTAGCAACTGTCATAGCCAGCCCTCTGACGTCACTTTTTCAAAATACTTTGAACAAAGGAATGTTGCCGGCTGACTGGAAAGAAGCTCAAGTGACACCATTGTTCAAAAAAGGTGACAAAAGCTGCCCGGGCAACTATGTGACGATAGCTGCCCGGGCAACTATCGCCCTGTTAGTTTGACAAGTGTCGTTTGCAAGGTAATGGAATCTGTTGCGAGGGATCGATTGATAGATCATTTGACTGCTAATAATCTCCTATCAGACTGTCAACATGGCTTTATTGCCAGAAGATCCTGTACCACTAACCTCTTGTTGACTCTGAACAAATGGACCCACCTGCTGGACGAAAGGGAGCCAGTAGATGCAGTGTACCTTGATTTTGCCAAGGCATTCGATGGTGTCCCACATGAGTGGCTGTTGCATAAATTGAAGTCTTTGGGAATAGAGTAATGTACTCAAATGGATCAGAGATTTTCTAGTAGGGAGGCTACAACGTGTCAGCATTAATGGGTCCGTATCAGACTGGGCTTCAGTGCACAGCGGCGTGCCACAAGGAAGCGTTCTCGGGCCTATTCTATTCGTTGCATTTATAAACAATCTGCCAGAAGCTGTGTCTAGCATTTGCTCGATGTATGCCGACGACACAAAAATTTATAATACAGTGAAGAATACGTCGCAAAAAGTATAGTTGCAAGGTGATCTTGACAGGCTGGTGGACTGGGCTGATAAGTGGCAGCTGCGCTTTAATGCTGACAAATGTAAAGTTCTCCACCTTGGCAAAAATAATGAACAGCAAGATTACAGTATGAGAAGACACGGTTGCAACGACAGAGTGATGATGTCGAAGTCAACAACGGAAAAGGATTTAGGAGTTAATATCGACAATGAGTTGAAATTTTCTAAGTATGTTGAAGGTCAAGTTAATAAAGCCAATAAACAACTTGGACTGATGAGAAGCTCTTTCAAGTTCATAGATGCAGAAACAATGAAGCATTTGTTTGTTGCTGTCGTGCACCCGAACCTAGAGTTTGGCAACATTGTGTGGTCACCAAAATTCGAAAAGGACAAAAAATTAGTAGAGAGTGTTCAAATATGCGCAACAAGGATAGTTCCGGGCTTGAAAAGCAAGTCCTATGAGGAAAGATTGAAGATTATGAAGCTTCCAAGCCTCAGTTATCGACATCTGCGTGGGGAGCTCATTGAAGCAGGGCTGGAAAAGTCCTATTTTGGTCTGAAATATCGCAGCTCTAATATCATATAATTTCAGTAGGTATGAAATCTCGTGTCAAATGTCATAAATTTTTTTTATTGAAAAATCGCGGTTTGCACTTTGCAAACATGTCACTTCATAAAATTTTTAACTGTCAAAGCGGTCAGACTGCATCAACTTACAGTAAAGACAAATTTTATCATTGCCATTTGACTGTTTTGGGGTAAAATTAGAGATTTGGGGTAACACGTGCAACAGTGCATGGACTTTGTGAATAAATTCGCACCTCGTAAATGGCTTTTTATGGCCAAGATATGGAATTCACGGCTCGGTGAAATGGAATCACAGCTTGAAGAAATGAAATCATGGCTGGCAAATCCATAAAACCACGGCTTGAAAAATTCAGTCGCAGCTTGCCAAGTAGATACATTACATGCCTGCATTGAAGTATACAAGTATACTCACCATGGTCAGGAAGATGTGCCAGGTGCGCGGGAATTTATTTTGTCATTTTAACGACCTGCGCGGTGCGCCATACTATGCTGGTAAAAAAATGTGCCGTGCGCCGTACTTTAGAAAGCTAAAATAGTTCTACTATTTTAGTCGACAATATACGCGAGTATATTGACTACGCGAGTCGAACTGACAATAATAAAATGTAAGACATGTCCGGGTTACTTCTGACTCTTCCGCTTGTCCGCCTTGTCGGATACGGAACATACGGTAATTGTAAACTGTGGCTATTATACATACAAAATGTAAACAGATTGTGTTCAGTGTTGCCATCTGACTTTGGAGAAAATTTCTTCTAAAACAAAGTTCTAGATTTCTCATTCACCAAATTTCCGTATCAAGAAAAATCATATATTATTGAAAGATAATTAAAGGCATACTGTACTGAGTAATCAGTAATGCGAGTATTACGTCTGTTCCTCCACAAACTGCTTGTGCGCGGCAGCGCAACGTAGAATTGATGGCCGGGATTGCGCGAACACGTGCGCGAAGAGAATCAATTTTCATTATATTGCACCAACTGTCAACTGTGCACAGCAATAGCTTAAAAAAGTGAAAATGCGCGGGAAATTCACCGAAAACATACATCATCCTGAGTGTGGCATACTCATGGCTTATACAAGGTCCCAGAAGAATTATTATTACCTACTAGAATTTGAAACAAGAACCAACACCAGGGGCCACGGGCACCCCACGGCTATAAACTAAAAAAACAACGTTGGAACATAGTGGCAAAGCAGAGAGTTTTTTTAGACTCTCCCTCAAGTTCATTTTTGAGTCCTATACTAGTCTGGAAAAGTCCTATTTTTGTCTGAAATATCGCGGCTCTAATATCATATAATTTCAGTAGGTATGAAATCTCAGGTGAAATAGAATCACGGCTCGTAGAAATGGAATCACGGCTGGCAAATCCATAAAACCACGGCTCGAAAAATTCAGTCGCGGCTCGCCAAGTAGATATATTCCATACTAGATCCTATAAGTAAACAAGCAAAGTATCATGGATACCAGCATTATCATACATAAGAAATTGGTTTAAATCTTGTGTAAATGAGGAAATTGAAAATGAACTGATTCTAAAAAATCTCTGGTTTGTCACTATGCATTGGAACACATCCATGCGACAACATTTCTTCTTGCTTTGAGTCACCGACATGTAGAACAGCCTGCCTCATAGCATCGTTGACGCTCCAAGTATGAACATCTTCAAAAACAGACTAGACGAAGCTATCAGCTATGCAGTAATCATGAGAATGCAGGAGCATTATGCTCCTGCATAATAGTGGCAAACCAGAGCTTTTTTAGAATCAGTTCATTTTTAATTTCCTCATTTACTCAAGATTTAAACCAATTCCTTAAGTATTATAAGCTGGTATCCAGGATACTTTACTGGTCTACTTATAGGACTCAAAAATGAACTTGGGGGAGAGTCTAAAAAACTCTCTGCTTTGCCACTATGGGCCGCCCCCCGAGCATATGTCATGATGTCAAGTCTTAAAATGCCTAGCAAATTACGGACCAGGCAATAAGTCCAGCAGCTATCTCAATCAATCGTCAGCTATGGAAAGATCGGGTTCCAAAGGCCAGATCTCTTGTGAATCAAGTCACGAAAAGTTCAAGAATCGGCAACAGGCCATGGGCCTATTTCTTCAACGCCGACACTTCTATTCTATAAAGTAAAAAACATCTAATCCTAAGCGATAGTTATTTAGGCTCGCGATTTTACAACAGATGAATTTATAAATACATACCTAGAGGCTAGACAGAGTGCATGTTAGGTACTTACCGAAATCCGAATACCGATTTTTTCTCGTTTCCTACGTAGTACCGCCTTGATGGGCTGCCACTGAGTCACTGACGTTCTCACTTTTCACTTTTCAGTTCAAATTGAGCACGCAACGGGTGTCGAATAAATAACCCTAAACGTATATCAACTTACCCTGAAAAATGTAATCACATTCAAGAATTGAGGTAATATAGAATAACTGGCTTTGTTCACTCGGATGTGAATAAAAGATGTGTGAAATGTGAATGATTATTCCCCAAATTATGGAACAGTCCTTTATTCATTATTTTTCGAAAGCGTATAGTTATATGAAGGAATGTCAAACTTATTTCTAATCCTTCGCATAAATTTAAGAAAAATGCTGAAGACTCGAAACCGACCAAAGTTATTTCCATCTGAAAGTATAATTCAGAGGGAATACAGTAGGTTAGAAAAAAGTGCGGATTGTTGAAAAATTACACATAACGACGAAAATAGATGCAACAGCACACACGCAGTACCAAATCATTTGCTGAATTAGGTCAACCTTTCTATATCTACTTCGGAGCTTTTCAATACTTATATAAAAATAAAGATCTTTATCTTTGCTTCAATATCAACATTGGTCCGTGCGTGGCAGCTACGAGCGCCACAGCAGGATACGTGGGTGGCTCTAATTGGTTTAAAAATACCGTTTCTGGCAGTATATTATATATTGTAACAAAGAGCTGGAGTAATAAACAAGTTTGTTTCCGGCGTTATTTATACACACATTGTAAGAAAAATACATAAAAATATGCGGAGTTAAATATGCTGATATTATGAATTGAAAATTTATGCAGCAATATAAAACCCCATTTCAAAACGTAGTCGCGATATTATTTTTCAACAACAGTGCTTAAGAAAACTATTGACAACCAACAGACGGTCGTTGCACAACAAGAGTATGTACATTATTTATATGCAGTATGCCATATAAATATTGAGATTATTATTTATCATTTTTATGAATTGATTATACTCCATTGAGGCATATAATAAATTAATGTATTTTATAAAATCAATTTTTTAACAAATTTAAATATAGGCGTATTAAAAACATATCTGCTAACTCTAGAGCGTATTCTTTGGTAGGCGTGTTCCAGGAATGCGCAAGAAAAATAAGGTACCCAACTTCAGTGTGTGAAATGACGCTTAAATGGCGATGTTAATGGCCTATCGTGCCTCAGAGGCAAGCGTAACGTGTCTCAGAGGCCCGCCTCTCGTGCCTCAGAGGCCCGCCTCGTGCCTCAGAGGCACGCCTCTACTGCCTCAGAGGCCCGCCTCTCGTGCCTCAGAAGCAAGCCTCTCGTGCCTCAGAGGCCCGCCTCTCGTGCCTCAAAGGCCCGTAACTCGAAGGTGACCTCAGCCCCCTCATCGTCGCCTTCGTCACCCTGTAGCAGCGCCACGTAACTCGGCGATCCTGAGTGGCTGCGCGCGTGTAACACGATGGCAGATTTTGCTCGCGAGGAGAAGGAACATTTAGTACAGGAATACTGGAACATCTGCTTGGTGTGGCACCGCATGTGGCGCTGCAGGAGGTACCGCAGGGTGGTGCGGTACCCACATATTGGGCAGCGGTGGGGCAGAGCGGCGGCGTGGAGGGCGGCTTGGTGGCGGTGCAGCTGACGGCGACTGGGGAAGCAAGCTGAGCAAACCTTGCAGCGCATGCCTGCACCAGAATATAATATAGTATGAATATGATATATAAAATATATATATAGTATAAACTATATTCATACTATATTTAGATATAGTATGAATATTGTTAATTTGTAAACGTTTTCATAAAGTAAATTGAATAAATGTAAGAAGTAAAGCAATTGACAATACTAAATTATAGTTAATCTATAAGATTTTATTTATATTAATATATTGCAATTTCAATAATTATTATAAATTATAAATAAAGAATTTTCTTTATGTGTATAAATAAGTGTGAGTTAATTTTCAATGACCTTCAAGGCTACTAAAGTCTTCAAAAATTCTAACAACAAAACAATAACCATCGTAATTAAGAGAAGGCAGGAAGACCAAGGCAAAGAGCGCCAGCAGATCAAGCGTGGATTGATAAGAATGAGAGATAAGATGCAATAAATAAAGCAGAGCAAAGAACTGAGCGGGGGACAGTTGAAGCACGCATCGTATATTACAAATGTAATATAAAACTGTCATATTTTAACACATCCTAATAACCGTTGGTGAACGGAATAAATTACGAGGGACGGCAATATCGTCCAGAAAACAGAAATAATATAACGAGGTGTCTTATCTGATAACTCAAACATTGAGTGCAACCGTGAGAATAGTCACATTTTGCAACCAGTTGTTAATTTCGCAATAAAATATCATCTGTTTACGGTTTACGCCATTGTCTTAACAACGCTAGCAATCATGCACGGCAGAGAATAATATAACAATTGAAATATCACTTGATGATTTAATTGGAACGTAATAATTTTATTTATAATTATTACAGTGTTAAATATAAAATTATATTTTAATTTAGAATATCATATTTTAAATTATAATATTATGTATTTTTAATTATAAAATTAAATTTTCATGATAATTTCATTTTTAATCAGAATAATAAATAGGTACTAAAGTATCATATAACATTTCTATCTGGAATATTTACAGGACTCACCAGACAGTTGAGGATGACAGGCAAGTCTGTGTTTAACAAGAGTGCTTCTGCCGGCGCAGCGGAAATCACAAAGCTGGCACCCCACACCCGCGCCCCTAGGACTCACACCCGCGCCCCTGGGACTCACACCCGCGCCCCTGGGACTCACACCCGCGCCCCTGGGGCTCGGTCGCGCCCCCTGCAGGCTCGCATCGCTGCCCGCGATGTCCGTGTAGTAGAGGAGGTCTTCGGGGAGATTGGGGATAGTCTTGGAACATGGAACCCCGGCGTTCGTCTCGATTTTAATATCGTTGCTGTTCGCAACGCTGTTGTTGATGGCCTCAACTTTACTACTGTTGTTTTCAGCGCTGTTGCTGTTGTTTTCAGCGCTGTTGCTGTTGTTTTCAGCGCTGTTGCTGTTGTTTTCAGCGCTGTTGCGGTTGTTTTCAGCGCTGTTGCTGTTGTTTTCAGCGCTGCTGCTGTCGTTTTCAACGCTATTGCAGTTGTTGTCAGCGTTATTGCTGTTGTTTTCAACGCTGTTGTCGTTGTTGTCAACGCTATTGCTATGGTTTTCAACGCGGTTGCGGTGGTTTTTAACGCTGCTGCTGTAGTTTTCAATTTTACAACTGCTGATTTCCGCTCTATTGCTATGGTTTTCAACTTCGCTGCTCTCCATGTTCCCAACTTCATGGCTGATGATATCGCTTTTAGCCTCATCTATATAGATGGTGTTCTCCAAGTCGTTATTTATACTGATGACATGATCATCCTCTGTAGGTATGACATTGCTAGAATCTGCTTCGTTAATAATCATTTTTATTTTGACTCTTGTTTTACTTTCTTCTTCATTTTCAATTTCACTGAAAATAGATTGTCTGTTAAAGGCTTGCTCTGACGACTTGGAGCACTGCTTTGGAACGGTAATTTGTCGATTATTCGATCGTATTTTGTCGTCCGATGAATTCCCAGTCACGTGGCGGATATAATTAATATTTGCATCGATTGCAGTCGCACTTTTCGTCGTCCGGCACTCCTCTTTCATATTTTGGCAATTCAGTGCAGTCTCAGGATGTCTAACTTTATTTTGACTGCAATTAGAGCCATCATCAACAATTGTTTTAATCACACTATTGTTAATAAAATTCGTATCAGAGCAACGATGATTCACCAGTGTTTTTAACCTCGTCTTCGTTACTCTACAGGCACCAAAATCCCCCACTGCGAGTAGACTGCTAAATTTTCCAGGTTCTTCTCGCTCATCTACTGCCTCGTAACTTAATTGAGATTCCACCTCCACCTTCAGCGCGTCAGACTTCAGATCATTATTACTACGCAAGTCTTTAGACAAAATACTGGCGTAGAAAGGAGAGGCCAGATGTCTGCGGATATGATGTTTCAGGACACTCGGGGAGTTTGTTCTATATCCACAGATGGTGCAGCCATAGCGCATTTCTTTTCGGTGCACCGGCATGTGGTGGCGGCGAGAAATGCTGTCATGGAACACCAAAGGACAGTATCGACAGCGATACAAACGAACATAGCGTTTGTCTACCTTAGTTTGATCAACTATTAACTGTTCCTCAGAACTGCGTACAACATCATCTGGGACTCCTTGCAGAAGACGTTCATTTATTTTCAGATTCTTTTCATTGTTTGGATTATTCAGATATACAACCGACTTGTCAAAAGAAATATTTTCTTTGGAATTATCCATATTCATCATCTTTTCTCTTGTAAGAGGCTTCAGAGATGAATTAATTTTGCACTGAATTTGGCTCATTAAACTGGACTGGAAGGTCTTTTTACTATCGTGTAAATCAGTCTGATGAGCGATCGTAGAATGCTTACGGCGATGCCTCCGCCAACTAGACACGTGCGTTGACGAAAACTCACACATGGTGCAATTATAAAGAAGTTTAATTTCGGTATTTTTTCTACGATTCGTTGGATCATGTTTTAAACTACAGTGCTGAATTAATGAGCATTTGTATTTGGATCTGAACGGACACAATGCACACGTGAAAGGTTTTTCAGGCAAATGTGTTTTGCAGTGCGCGTTGAAGAGACGTTTTTGACCAGTTTCAAATGCACACACAGAGCATTTGAATGGGTATTTGGAAACATGGTGAGCCAATTGCTCCTTTCTGATACTCTTCTCTGAATCCAGTGCAACATTTTTTGGATAAATTGCACCAGCATTACAATAAGGTTCTAAAGCAATATTCGCTTCGTTTTGTTCATTAATTTGAAGATTTTCTGTGACTTTCAAATTAGATTTAGTTGATCGTCGTGTAGCTCCGATACTTGGGTTCTCTCCAGGAAGCAGATTAAGTAGTGTTGCATTACGAAGTGGTACATCACCATTTTTTAAGTCATTTTCATGGGGCGCATGAACTTCATCAGAAGCTGATGTATCAGTAGTGATGACGTTAAAGGTTGATTTGAGTTTTCCCAACTGAAAATCGGAAACTTCCTCCGAAGCAGGTTTTTCATTGCCTATAATTGTATTCCATGTTTCTGGATGGTCTGGCTCGGAGATTTTGTGTTCCTGGGAGCGTTGTACAAAATTGGAAGAGCCATCAGTCGCCTGATGATGCACACAAATGTTAGTAGATTCAACAGTTGCTTGAGTTTGCACGCAAATGTTATCAGATTTATAAATACCAGACGTTAAACATTTCGGGTCACATAACCCTGCTTTCAATGCATGAGCTCCAGCCTCTTCGTGAGGTTCGAGAACAATTCCTATAGTATCACACATTCCCTGTTGTTCAAATAAGTCATCAAATATGGTAGTATCTTCCATTGTGCAGTTTTCCATCGACTTTGGGAAACTTTTCGACATGGGATATGTTTCAGGGTTTTCCATCGACTTTGGGAAACTTTTCGACATGGGATATGTTTCAGGGTTCAGTTTACATCTTACTGGATGTGCAAAAATTTCATTTCGATTTTCACTCGAAAAATTCTGTTTTTCATTCACTAGGTTAGATGAGTACCTCCACAAACCAGATTTGCTTGGACCACTTTGGTTTAATGGGTATTGAGTAGAACTTTCCGATTTCCCTTCAATATTTTGGTTTAGACACTTAGGCGAGCTGTATTTAGGTTTATTAACATTTTCAGATTCTTGAAAAGTGAGGCGAGAAGGAGAATTCCCTTGATAAATACTTTTAGCACTGACAGATTCGCTTATGGTGGAACAAGATATATTGTTATTAGAAGGAATATGATATATTGTGAGGGTGGTACATAGAGGGATGTTGTCATCTGAAGCAATGTTTGAGCCAGACTCAATTGGTAATGAACCTTCTTCATTCATTGTTGAATTAAGTGGCGCGTTCTTGATGGCAGCAGAAGTAGGAGGAGTGCCAATTGAATCAAATTCAGCCAAGGGTTCTTCAAATGATCCACGTGGTGTGACTTGATTGCCCTGGTCACAAATAACGGTAGTAAAATCTTTAACACATGGCACAACGTTGGATGTCTCAATTATTGCTGGATCAGGATGCCTCTCATCAAGAGATTTCCCTCCTTTAGCAGCAAGATCATTCTTCTGAAAAAAAAAATTGTCGTAATTTTAGTGTGATAGAGGAAACTTGTGAAATATGTGAGTGTAAACAGTGGTACAGTAGCTCTCTGAGTCCTCTTTGACTCAGATACTACCCATATTGATTTCATTTGACTAACAATTTTCAACCTACACTTCAAATTAGACTTTCCAATTAAAACCGCACACCAGAAGTGTCTTCTATGCCTAATATTTTAAGGAAATAAAGCTTCATCAAGAAATAAATCTCAATTATAACAACATTGAAAATTGCATCAAAATTCCTCCTGAAAAGTTACAAATGTACAGATTGAGTTTGAATGAAACAGGATAAACTGAACATACAATCATGGTTCTATCTGTGTAACCACTAACCAATCATGGTTCTATCTGTGTATTCATAACCACTGTACAAACATGAATCTCTGTAAAAATATTTATTTTTCAACAGATATTTTGAAAAGTACATAAGTATTAAAATCCCTTGTTTGCTTGAATCACAAGTTAAGCAGGAATTTAAAAGCAAAGATAATACCACATTAATTCACCATATCTTTATAAGAGAAAACGTTGTGGAGTCCAGCTCCATCGTTAGTTCATAACACAAAATTCTGTTCAGAAAAAGTTCAGTCCTAGAAACACAAATACAATCAATTAGGGAAGTAAAATGCACCGTCATGTTTCAAAACGGAAAATAAATAAGACATGAAATTAATTCTAGTGAACGGCCTATCTATTTACTATTTCAACAGGAAAGGAGCTAAAATTCGTAGTCTGAATCAAGAGGAAAGGAACATTCAGACTAGGCTTCTGTTTGAATATATACCTACAGGGATTCTAAAATTTGTAGATCACTAACATCACATGTGGAAGCTAGAATTTTGAAATCACTATCAGATACAGAGGTGTTGCACTGCTCGGCATGAACACGTACAGCAGAATGAGGTGGATGTGCAAGTAGGTTCTCTGTTCTATAACTCCTGCCCTTATACTCAGCCAGCCTAGTATAGAAATTGCGTGACGTCATACCAACGTATGCTGATGCGCACTGCGCACAATCTATTTCTGACTACCGGATTTGTCTGAACTCTGAAAGAGTTTCCCGAGTAATTTTTGGTCCAAAATTTTACTGTTGTATCCTATTTACTTATATTATGTACTTATTTCCACCAAAATTTCAATCTTTAATGCTTCTTCTAACTTGAAAATGAATGTTTGTTGCATTCGAAACGTCGTTAATAAAGAAAAACTACTTCCTGAAACTTGCCTTTTTATCTACCGTCATCTGAAGAAAAGTTCCACTCCCTGATAATATAAACCAACGAATTCTCTGGTCATCAATCGCACGTGTGTACACAACTATATCTGTACACTAGTGATGATCGCATAAGAGCAGGTAGGTGAAAAGTACATATATATGCATTAACACAACTTGAATATAAAAATATTGAGTTCCCTTGTACATAGCCGGAGCACATTAGTATTACTGTCAAGTATACTTCCCAGCTTTTTGAAGGTAAATTTTTGACCACTTATATTCTCATTTCAAACTCATGTTCAATTTAAAGTAGCACATAATAGATGGAAGGAAGAATAGGGGAAATGAAAGCTAGCCCCTGGATGGCTGGATAGTAAATTTGGATAATACAAAATTTCCATTAGGGAAAAAATTAAAATTTATGAAGAAAACTTGATCCACATAGGTTTGCAATTAAAAGATATTTTTGCCCGACACCCAAGGCAGCATATATATCTTGCCTTGGGTGCCTTGTATACCTATATTATATACCTATACATAGGTACTCTACAATTCTACCTCAAAAATGAAACAAACACATTAATAACTGCAGAATAATAAACTATTTCATGGATCTTGAACGCTTGTGACACAGGGAAATTTTTTAATAGTTTCTTTTAAACTATTATGTCATTTTTTTTGTAATTATTACAGAATTGATTGTGGTAAATAATGGGGAAAATTACATGTTGTGTGGAAAACATTTTTTGAAAATAAGTTTGAAAATAATCTGAGTTCTTGTCATTTGTGGCTCTGGCATGATAGCAGCAACAAAACATTCCACAACATACAATGGTGATTATTTAATTGATACAGTATTTAGAATTCAAAATAGCCCAAAACTAGATTCAAGAAACTTGGACCAAATCTACATGTTGACAAGTACAATGCTTGACTTTTCAGAGGTTATAAAAGCTTGGTGTGACCGGCATGCCAGTTGATAACCTATATTTATAATATGGGCTATTAGAAATTGCATGCATAATGATTTCAATATACTTTTTAATAAGCATTAAGTTACCTATATTTCATTTACAAGAAAATTTCAAACCTCTGATCATATATGCATGTAGTTTTTAAATATAATATATACGGTATGGTACCTAAATTATACATATTTGTTAATTTATATAATAATATAATATAGGTATATATAATAATTATATTAATTTATATAATAAATATATAAATTTTGCAGCACACCTGTCGTTGAGGGCAATATTTGCGGCAATGTCTGGTCAAGTTACTCTTGTCGCAGGTGCTGTAGGGGCAGCGGGTGCAGCGCAAAGGCTTAGCTCCAATGTGGCGACGATTGTGCAGGTAGAATGACGAGCCATCATTGCATGCATATGAACACTTGGAACATTGGTATCTGAAGGAAAAGAAATGATTTACTAAACACTTCAAGACATAGGTAACCAATACAATAAAATACATTTTGAATTTGCATTCATTCAACACTGACCATTAAACCTTTTGCATCTATGATTAATGGTATGTGGATTACATGGCCACAAGATGCTTCTTCTCAGCATTATGCTAATCAACTAAAAACAATACCAAATATAAAAAACATGAGTGAACATTCTTGCAAAGATTGAAGTAGAAAACACATTTAGTAATTTACAATGGATATCATAAGATTGAAAAGTAAAAAATTAAAATTCTTGATCATAATAATGCATCAATGTATTTTTAATATATGAGAAAAAAAATTTATTCATGGAATAGGGTTGAATTGAATAGAGAGTAGGGACAGATACCACCAGATGACTGACATTTCTGTAAAGGAAGTACATATATGAAAACAATTAAATTCAGTTTAAAAATGGCAGAAAACCAAGTACAAGGTAATATGTATACCTACAATGGCTATGCACTAGCAAGAACCATGTAACTGATGAAGTTGGTGTGCTGTAAAATGCAGTATGAAATTTATATACAGATAATTTGTATGACTAGTAAATTTTGTTTAATTTGCTTAGCCCTTGGTTCCCAGTATAATTCTAGATGTATGCAGTGTTTCAGCCCTCTCTTTGCAGTTTGCACTATTATTGCTATAGGTTACTCTTATCATAAGAATTTTACTTGTCACCTAACAAGAGCATTGAGGCTAAACAAAAACTATTAAACAAAGTTAATGATTTGGGAAAATATAATTTTTTTTCATTCAGATTTGTATTTTCTTTGAAATGGTCTCTAGAATACCACTATATAAAAAATTACATAATTTTAGTTCTATATTCATACTATTCCAAAAATTTATTTCAAAGGATTGCATAAATTTCTATGAAATTTTTCATCATTTTTATAACAATTTGCAAATATCATACAGTGCTGAATAAATAAAATTCTGCTTACCTCTTCACAGGCAAATGGGAAAGTCGGTGCTTGGAGAGACTTTTGCGAGACTTTGTTTTAAAATTGCACAAGGTGCAAGGAAGCAGCTGGCTACCATGAAGGAGCTCATGGTCTTTAAGGTTTGCTGCGTAAGCAGTGCAAAAATTACACTGATTGCATTTGAACAATTTTCCTAGCCTATGTTTAGGAATATCACCTGGCTTAGTTTTATTACTGGAATGTCTTCTTAGAATATGTCTTTTTAGGATTGTCTTTATTTTGAAGCTTTCACCACAAGTATCACAGACAAAAGGCCTTTCAGTGGAGTGATGGGCTGATGTGTGACGGCTGAGACTCACACTGCTGGTGGTTTGGAAGTCACATGAACAACACATATATTTCTTCTTCATGTTAGGTCACTAGCACTGAACAGAAGAATAATCAATATGCTTCAAGAGAAAGCAATTAAAAATATTCATCTGCAAATGATCAAGACTTTTAATTAAAACATGGCATAATTTTTGACAGTAATAAGAGTTATGACTCAAAGTCTCAAAATAGAACATTTAGCCAGGTACCGTACATAATAAATACATATATAGTATACCAGATATTTAACTTCGACAGCAAATAGTAGAGAACATTCCGTTATTGGAGAGCTTACGATGAAAAAAATATTGGGTATGCTATGAGAGGTGAGCATGAGCCAAATTGTCAAGTCTCAAGAAGTGGACACTAACTTGGGAGTCTCAGGTCTAAGGACTACAAGGGTTAAGTGTTAACTATAACTAATGTTTAAATTTAGTTCTGAGTCAGATGGCTTAACGGTTTCCCCATTTTCTAATGGGAGGTGTTTATGCTGGGATGCAACCTGCGTCGACACTTTTGCTGAGGGCCTGAGACTCTGAGTCGCATGTCAATAATTCGGCTATTTCTGCTGGGTTCGCGGCTTGTGCGGTGGACTGGCGGAGGGCCAGAGGATAGCAAGAGACCTAAATACATGGCGCTGGCAGCTCGGTATCGCTTTGAGCCAGTTGCATTAGAAACGACGGGCACATATGGTGAAACGACTGGTCCTTTAATATCACAGATTGGCCGTCGCATTACGGAATTGTCCGGCAAATGTAGAGAGACTCTATGGTAGGAGCAAAGGTAGGGTTTGGCTGTGCAGAGAGGCAATGTAGCTAGCATCATAACAGCAGTCAGAGAAAAGTTCGACATGGGCCCGCTCCTTGCTCGCATCACAGCTCAGTGACCCTCGGAGTCAGTGTAGGCCACCATCAGAGGCATTAAGCGTGGGGCCCTGATCATTGACATGAAACCATTCCCTGTTTTTAATTAATAAAATTAATTGCTTTTTGTTGGAATGGTGAGTGTGGGACAGTGGGAGGCCTTTAAAAAAAAAGTAACAGACTAACAGCCCACCAAGCATCTGAAGTTCAATCAATATTGAATTAAACTTTGTAATGTTGAATCAATGTTAATTAAATATTTTAATTACCGGTACTATATTTTGACTGCTGGGAGTCTGGAAGTGGGTCTCGTCTCAGTAGGAAAATGAGAAACTGTCAGAGCTACAACAAACATCCTGAGTGTGAGTGGAAGATACAGTGCTTCAAGTTCAATTACTGGAAACTTGGGAAGTAGGAACCCCTGATGCAAAGTTTGCAAACCTCCTGTAGTCTGCGGCTGAAATTCTTCTCGTTGTTTGACAAAATGTTTTGCACATTTGAACCAATTTTGCATTAATGCAATACAATTACAACACAACACATTATTGCCAACTGCTGAGATAAATACAGTATACTCATGGCAAGGTGTACAGACATTGCGGTATACTCCAGGTGGGGCTTGTGCAGTATACCTACCTACTCCTGGCAAGCCTGCGAGGTATCAGTTATCAGTATGTGCACTGCACTGGCACTCTGGCAGCACTGCACAGACCACAGTACAGTATATACCTGGGAGTCTTCTTCTTCTTCTTTGCAGGGTGTCCACTTGGAGTGGACTTAAAGCCGCAGGTCTGCCAGATGGATGACTGTAGGGTTGGGACTTGGGCCTGACTCCTGAGAGATTATAGCTTGTGGTTTTCAGCTTCTTTGTATATGAAATCAATTGCTGCCGTCTTGTGAGGTTGGCTGATGTAAGCTCAGTACAGGATTGGGTAGAAATTTACAGGGAACATATATTAGTAAATGAAATGAGTTACTGCTAATGTAATTTAGATAGGTAAGTAAGGGCTGCTAATATAACAACTTTCATTAAATAAAAAACAAAAAAAAATTAATAATAGAAATATATACATAATTATGATAATATTAAAAAAACCTAGATGATCTACTTGCTAAATTGAAACATATATCAGCAGTTGCCATTATGGATTGCCATCAATGCCATCATTGCCATGCATTAAGTAATTTAAGTGATTAACAATTCTATTCTAACCTGCGTCCTGCGAGTGCGAGTAACTATCATCATTGACGTTATATGGACGGGTGTATAGTGCATACTACATATTAGATGAAAATAGGAGCTTTCTATGTTAGTATATTAGCGCAGAGTCCGCAGACGCTACTTGTCAAGTTGTCCACTGACTCCACTCCACATCTGTCGGCATAAAATAGATGATAAGATGAAGCTCTACGTAAGCTTCCTACTGTTATTACTAATACGATACCCAAAAGTGCAATCTTTCAAAAGATTTTGTAACGACATCATGCATGCTGCTATTGCTCGTCTAAAAGCGTGACGCTTCAGAGTTCAGACGAGGATGGTTTAAACGTAAAATGTTCCATGAGCGAGACAGAATCTATTCTGCCAGAACTAGCGGACGACCTGTACTCACGGAACTCTCAATTTATTGTAGTCATTCATCGAAGTTTGTATAAAAAAAAACGACCATTCATAGAAAATATATTCCTAGGGTAACTTCGGTAATAATGAGATTATGCCTGGCCTGACTCCAAGACATATTTTGAGAGAAGAACTTCACGTTATGAACATCAAAATTATTTAATAGAATTCAATGTAGATTGCAATAAAAGCTGATGCAGGAGGAGTATTGATGGTCTAATGTCCCCATATTTAAATTAGGTCGCCATAAGTCATCTGTAGGGGGAGCGTCTGGGTGGTGAAAAAACTTTTTTATTTACGGACGGATCACTTAGAAACTTGGTACACCTATGTAAAACAGAATTCTAAGACTTTTTTGTTCGTGTATTTTTCTAAAAAAGAAAGAAAACGTGAAATTATTAGAAAACTGCAAAAAGGGGTACTATAGAAATCTATTTCCTCCTAGGATTTTGAAGCCACAACATCGAGACGCATATCATTCGATGCGTAAGGACCATATCTATCGATTCGTCTTCGCTTTTTTCGAATTTTTGTGGATGAGTAGCAAATTAAATAGAAATAGGATGAGCACACTTCTCTTAAATAGAAGTGTTGATGAGCACTTCTATTTAAGTGCTCGGCAGCTAATTTCCTCCGATCTAAAATGTTAAAGAACTCCCCCACCCGCCTCACTTTCGGAATATGACAAGAACGCATAAATCAACGTACAGAGATGGTTTTGGTTCCGTTGGTTGGCTCAGAACGTCAGCTTTAAGATGAGACTTGAAACTGGAAAAGCCAATACTGTTGATTTTGCACCCAGACGCTAACTTTAAATAAACCGCAGTCACCCTGAGCTGAGACTACGTAGCTATGTACAGGGTGCGGCGTGGGAACTTACTCTTTTAAAAAAATCACAAAGTAAAAAGTATTAAAGATAGCGTTTTAATTCTTTCTTTTTTACAAAGAGCTACATTTAAAGTTTCGTTAGAAAAGTACACAGAGACTGCGAACGCGCGCTCCTCTCTCGACCACTGCATGGTCGCAACTGAACTGAGTGGACGAAAAACTTCATAGCCCGCGCACCATATTGCGCATGGCGCCACCTTCCTAGGACTAATGGCCGCCACGTGGCGCGCAATTCAAATAAGTAAGTTCCCGCGCCGCACCTTGTATATGTCATCCAAAGTTATTTTGAAGTATTTCCCAGACGTAATAGCGTAACCAGCAGTGAAGCAAGGCGAGATATAACTCTAGGAGGTATTCTACAATCTGAGCAAAGTTGTACATATATTTGCAATCTTGCTATATTTAAATGGCATTGCCGTATAGCAGACCTAAACGTTAGGTGAGAGGCAAATACTATGCTGTAATACTGTACTGTAATATTTTATTATAAAACTGTACTGTAATACTGTACTGTAATATTTTATTATAAAACTGTACTGTAATACTGTACTGTAATATTGTACTGTAATATTGCACTGTAATACTGTATTCTAAAACTGTACTGTAATACTGTACTGTAATATTGCTCTGTAATATCGATATTACACTGTAATACTGCACTGTAATATTGTAATCTTACTTTATCGTCGGTCATGCAAGGTCTAATTAGTTCATCTCATATTAGCTCGCGTAATCCAAGCTTCTTTTAGTCACCATCAGTCAGGCTGCGTTCAAGTCTTTATCCTAGCGACCTGTGGCCGCCTTATGGTC